GGGTCCTCCGGAGGACCCGGCCTGTCGTTTTGGACACAGCCATTGCCTTCCTGCTACGTAAGCAGACACAAAGCATTGTGGGAAATCAGAACCGTGACCCAAAGCAACAGTCAGCAGGATGTATACCTTCACAATAAGTGTGTTTATCTGGGAGGGGTGCTGTTGGATAGATCACATGTTGTGATTCATTGACAGTCATACCTYCTRCTGTTCAACATAATGATGACTGGTAGATAATTAGTTATTAGCGGTACTGCATTTTAATTTTAGAAAGTGCAAATCTGCTTATGAATTATAAAAGGTAGTAAGACTGCAAAAGCGCAAACGCAATATTTAGGTCCGCAATTAGCGGATTTGCCCTTTATCGGGCTGGTGCCCACCACTGCAATTTAACCAATGCTGTCTTAGTGTGGTTTATTTTTATAAACGATCATCTTTATTACATCTGACTGGTTTCAGTGTTTTCCTCATTTGTTCTGTTGCCTTCTGTGTGTCCTGCCATGCTCAGCCTTTCTCCCCTCACCCAGTAGTTTTCTATAGTTAGTCCAGGGGCAGAGCAAGACTTTTTGCAAGGGGTGGCCAACAAACTGCCCTAGCTTTAAAAGATTCAAGATGACTACCACAGCCAATTTAAAAGGGCTCGAACTCTAACTGTTTTAAGATATAGTGAGTAGAATTTTTGTGATCATAGCAATGAATAACAAAATAAAACATGCTGAATGCTTATCACATTTTCAAGCTAACTGCTAATGGTAATTTTAGAAAGAGCTATATTTCAGCAATTTTTAAACAAACAAAATAAACAAAATAAAACTGAAAATTAGTATAGTATTAGCTGAAAACATTTTTTCCAAAATCTAAACACTAATAAAAAATTCAAGCTGGCCATCACAGCTGACTTTAAATGATTACCATTCAGCCATTTTAAGACTTATTTAGCTGAAATTTGTTGTGGTGTAGCCAAGAATGACTGCTAGTTCCAATTTAAATTGACCTCTAATGCTAATTTTGCAAAAGGTAGTAATTCAGACATTAAAACACAAATGCAAATGCATGTAGTAGTAGCCAAGAACAATCTTTAACAAAATCTGAGTGCAAGTTTATATAACTCACTTTATTTTCTTTAGAATTCTTGAGCTGAAGCTTGGTCATGTGGTAGCCTTAAGCAATCCCTTTGATATGTTGAAATCTCAATTTTAAGCTAAGAGCTAATGCTAATATGAGAAAAATACATACATTAGCCAGTTTTCAGTCTTCAGCTCAGCTGCAGTCGAGCATTGCTGTGCTTCATGTTTTCAGGTCAAATCTTTATTTTGTGTTTGTTACCTTACAGGACGTTACTGCATCATGCTTTTAGGAAAAAGTCAACTCATGAAGACACAACTCAGCAACTTTATCACGACAAAAATTTCCAAGTCTTCAAGTTCAGGCGAGCCGGTCAAAGAGGGTCTATGGAATGGAAAATTCTTATTTGTGGTGGAAGCTCCAGAAAGTCTGTCTCCAAGAGTCATGAGAGAAGAACTGAAAAAGTGCATAAGCCTTTGTCCTTCTGGACCAAATGTTCTGCTGCTGTTAGTGAAGCCCTCAGACTTCACAGAGAAGGACAGACACACACTGAGGTCCACACTGAGTCTGTTTGGTAAAAAGGCTTTCAAGCACTCAATGGTCATCATGACACAAGAAGGAAAACACACAAGTTTCTCTGTGAATTCACTCATCACAGAATGTGAGGGAAGACAATACAACACATTTGGAAATGACCACAGAGGGTTGATGGAAAAGATCGAGGGCATTGTGACAAAAACCAGAGGTGCCATCCTGACCATCAAAGATCAGTCAGCAGAACCAAAGTCTGATCAGATGAGACCAGCGTTAAACCTGGTTCTGGTTGGGAGCAGAAGACCACAGAAGACTTCAGCAGCTGAAGCTATATTAGATCAGACAGATCTTCCTCCAGCCTCCAGCCCATCAGAGTGGGTTAAACATGAGGCAGAGGTGTGTGGACGTCAGGTTTCTGTGCTACAGATGCCTCCTCTGTACGACAAACCACCTGAGGAAGTGATGGAGGAAACCCTCAGGTGTGTCTCCCTCTGTGATCC